AAAAAAAAAAAAAAAGAATGGATCCGGCTGCAAGGGACCCCATAGAGCCTTGTGCTCATATTCAATTTCACCGTTAAAAACAAAACAAAACAAACCCCGGCAAGTTCATGTGCTTTAACCTAGTAAAGAAAACAACACCCGCACAGCCGGTTCCGTAAACAATATTCTGAGGAAAGGAGAAAAGAGTGACGCTGTCGAAGCCTTCACTTTACTCGCATCCCTAGTCAAGCCTCACGGAACCTGCAGCTGTGGAATCAAAGGTGCGTTCTTGCCTTGGGGACACCTGCTGCAGAAGCCCTGTGGACCACCTTCGTTCAAAAGCAAAGCTGAGACCAACGTGCAACTGAGCCAGGCCACAGTTATTAGGAATTTTTTAATCATCTCATTTGCATATGAAAGTTGAACAACGAATAAGAGAGGCCCAAGAAGAATCAATGCCTCTGAGTGATGGTGCCGGAGAAGAACATTGACTGTAGGAGAACAGACACGTCTGTCTTGGAAAGGAGGAGAGCCAGAATGCCCCTGAGGGTCAAGGAGGTCTCATTTGTGTCACATCTACTTTGTGCCAGGAGAGACCAGTCCCTGGAGAAGGACAGGAGGAGAGGAAAGACCCCCAAAGAGCCGGGTTGACACAGTGGCTGCAACAATGGGCGTAAGCACAGCAATGCACAGGATGGCCCGGGTGTGGGCAGTGTTTCTTCTCGTGGACATCGGGACACTAAGAGTGGAAATGGATTCAACAGCACCTAGCAACGACCACCTGAAAACATGAAGGGGGTTTTATTTATTTATTTTTGAATGGTGATCACTGATTTATCCTCAGTGCCTGGAGCAGAGCTCAATGCAGTGGCAGGTGTTCAATATATTTGTTGAGTTAATGCATAACTATCTTCTATCATCTAAGCAGACTGAACCGAGATCTGTAGATCCTGATGTGCTTGCTTATGTTCAAACTGACTGTTTACACTCAGTTCAGAGGTCTCGAAACTAATGCACACCAGTCAACCCAATCACTAATGATCTGCTTCTTCCAGGCTTTCTGTTACAGCTTCTCATTGTTACTGAGAGCCACTGAGTTGATTCTGACACAATCAGACCCTACAGGACAAGGCAGAACTACTGTTGTGGCTTTCCGAGACTGTAACTCTTTACAGGAGTAGAGAGTCTTTCTCCCACAGAACGGCTGGTGGTTGCAAACCACTGACCTTGTGGTTAGCAGCCCAGTGCATAACCACTATGCAACCAGGACTCCTTACAGCTTAGTGGACTTCTAATGTTGCATAAAATCCAGTTATTGAGTTACTGTGGCATCAACTCAACTCCCAGAGACTCCACTTGTATCAGAGAAGAACTGTGTGCTTCAAAGTGTTTCCAGTGACGGCCGAGCGTCAGGAAGTAGATTACCAGGCCGTTTCACGATGGCACCTCTGGGTGAACTCAAACATGCAACCCTTCAGTGAGCACCTGAATGCTTCAGCTGTTTGCCCGATCTGGTGGCTCCATGTATTGTACTACCCAGCCAAGCCAACCTCAGTGACCTCGGACTCCTGGAGACTCCACAGGGCAGAGTGGAACTGCCTCTGGGTGTCTCCGAGTCTGTTAACTCTCTACAGGAGTAGAAAGCCTCATCTGGACGGGACCCGGCAAGAGTGGAGGAAAGTCAGGTTGGGAAAACCCAAGATGATGCTTTGCTGCTACCAACAGAATGCTAAGAAAACAATGTGAAGTTTGGTTCAAAGACCTGCAGTCCTGACAAAACTCAACACTCTGCCATTTGACTTATTAAAACTTTAAATTGTGGACTAAGTGGGGGTTCCGATACCAGACCAACATATGCCCATTTTGAAGTGTCCAGCATTTTGTATACCATTTTACTCTTTCCAGTGTGAGCTCACTCAGATTAGCGTGATCAAAGTTAAATTTTCTTGCGATCCTTTGCGAGCATATGTCAGGCCCCATGAGAAGGAAACATGGTTTGCTGGGGAGTCTTCTATGAGCCACCCCCAAGAAGGAGCTTTCTCAATGTCCAGGTGGAGGCCCAGGCCTGCCTGGGGGTTCTCCGCGGTGGGGGTTGTGGTCCCTTTTCTAATGGTCAGTCTACTTGAGAGCAGGCAGCCAGAGCACCCACTAACCGCACACTACAGCCAAGCGAAGTTCTTTCATTTGTGAGCCTCCCAACCTGCTCCCATACGTGCTACGGGCTCTCAGTTCAAGTGGAGGTGCCAAGGCGTCTTTAGAACACCACTCTCCTCAGACCCACTCCTTGGCATCCAACCATTGTCATTTCTCTTTGTGAGGTTTCAAGATGTTGTTGTCGTTGTTTTTCTTTTAGAAAAGAATCCCAAACAAAAGCCCACCCTCTAGGTCTGGACAGTCCCTCAGGGGATGAGTTTTCCTGCAGGCTTAGGAGGCCATTCCGGAGCTCCTGGGGAGAGCCAGCCCATTGACAACAGGTGGGTTTATGGGCAGTCAGTGGTGAAGAGGAAACACAGTCCCTCTGGCTGGCGCTTTCTGGGTGACGAACCAGCCTCCCATTTGGGAACACGGCCAAAACACCTACTCACTCACTGTGCGGGAGAGGCCGTGCAAAAGGAACCCCAGCTCGAGGCGGCCGGAACTGAGGTTCCTTTCCAAGGTCACTGGGCCATTTGGATGCGACTTCCACACTTCCAGGCCTTGGCAGAACTGTTGTCATCAGCCCAGTATGCCCAGGAATCAAGGGTTTCCAAACTGTGAATCAGGGCAAGAAGGAAGCAGGTAGCCGGACTCTCTGCAGCTTCCGCGGAATCAAGATTTTTTGTTTTGACTGACATTGTATTGTGTCTTCACAGCTACCGGTTTAGGTGACCATTCAACAAAGCCCACAAAAGTTGCTCAGGGACACTGGCTACATTCCCCGTAGTGCACGGATAATCCCTTCCTGAGTGTGGTTCCTCGGGTTCCCTTGTGGCCGGATCCAACTCCGATGATGACCGTGTCCATCAAGTGCCGGGCCCGTTTGAAAGCCAATAGAAGGGTGGAAGGAGAGATGGCACCCGGGCTGAGATGCCAGGGCAAGCCTCTCGCCAGCGGGGTGCATAGACTCCAAGGTCCAGGGCATGCTTCTGTGACCAGGAGCCAAGGAGCACCTTGCAACCACAAGGCAAGGAAGACAGAGCAGGCAGGTGAGGGAGCCTGAGGTTTCTTTGAAGAGATCAAGGAGCCACCACACCAGTGGGCTCCCTACCTTCAAATGCCTGTGAACATTAGGACAGAACACGCAGCCACAAGTACTCCCCGGTGGTGAAATGTGCACAGCAGTTCTTTGGCGAGGGGAATGGTAAGGACTTCTTGTGAGGGGATTCGGAGCTGAGCCTCCAGGAAGCAGGTCAGGGAAGAGAGAGGCTTCTTTCTTCACAACACACCGTCTCCAGGGCAGCTTGCCCCTAAACCAGGGTCTCCAAACCAGTGGTCGCACCCTCCGTCCTAACTATTTCTGTGTCCTTTGTCAAGTCACGGGTTCAGGGCAGAGATGGCCTCTTCTTTTGATATCTGCCTTGGGGTTTTATTTCTTTTTATTCTGATCATCTCTTGTTTTCCAAAAGGGTCATTTCTATTCCTGGCCACGGGTACCCCAAACTGCTTGT